CTTTCCACCTGGGAACTGAGCTAACTGAAAACCAATGTCAGAGTGTGTGTGCACGTGTGTCAAAGGTGGAGAGCAGATTCAATCTTCATATCGTATGTTTGAGTACTGTAACTCTGATATTCTTCGGGGTTGTGGCCCAAAAGATCTTGTAGCGTTGAGAACCTCATGCCCTCTCCAACTCTGCCCACAATGCTATCCAGTAAAAAACAGGTGGTGGAGTAGCTTTGTTTGCTGCTTTGGATCAGAAGCCATTCGTTGCGGGCTTGCGTGACCAATCTTCAGCTCAGACTGTGTCTTTGAGAAGCAGTTGAAACTGGTGTTGAGTCAGCTTCCAGCTTTCATGTTCAACCTCTAAGTGGACTTCCAGCTGAAGATTTTTCAGTTCAACGCGTCAAGTATGTCAGCCTTCTGAGTCATGCGCCAGGTAGAGATAGTCTACGTAAGCGGCAACGTAGGGCTAGAATCGGCTTCTACTCACTCAACCAAGGTATGCCGCGATCCGACAGGCCTTTGACGTTATCAGGGAACAAATTGTGGTGCCAGCCGCCATTTGCGCCATTTGCCGGCGTTCACTAGCTTCGCGCAAAGCGGCGTGTAACCCCAAACGCAGCAATTTGTCGGAGGGCTGCGCCTAGTCTAGTCTAGCCTAGGAAGTGCTGGTGTCCGGACAAGAAGGAGAGCTTACACATGTGATCTCCATTGCCACAATGCTATGGACCATGGCTTGGCTTGACAGACAGCCGTGGCGGAGTGCCCAATGAATATTGTGATGCATGTTGTGATTTCATGTCATGTCGCCACGCGGAGAGACGCTGGCCGCTGGTACTAATGTGGACATATAGGCGGATACTGATACTATAATATACTATATGCTTACACATACAAGCGACCGCATGCTGTCAATATCTAAAGAGTCTTCCCGACTGTGGCAGGAAAACTTGCGGCTTTACCACTATAGCACAGCTGGGAGTCTCAGAGCAGCTTCTGGAGCGACAAACATGGAAGCTCCTTCGAAGGGAGGGAAGCCAAATTGGGGTTTGATCATTAAGCTTATGCGGTTGCAGCGTTGCAAGGCATTGGACCAGGCATGGCAGCCCTTCTTTCGCGAGGCAGGATTCAATGTTGAACTTGCTTTAGCTGCCGCATTGTGCATGATTTGTTCGTGAACGCACGGCCAAGCGGGCGCAGAGATGTGTATCCATTCAAAAAGAGACAGCTAATGTTCGAACTCATACAGATGTGCTGGGGGGCTGAGAAATAGACCCCCCAGAAACTGGTTCATTCCTAGACCGCTCTATTCGGCTCGACTGGACCGCGCCCACGGGCCAGGGCTCCTTCTTTCGCCTCCGTCACTTCGTCACGGCAGAACGGTGGCGTGGCGCAGCGGGTAGCGAAAAGCGGCGTGGTTCGCCTGGCCCGTACTCCATGGACTCTGGGTTCCAGCCCTCAACTTCTGCTTTCAAGCAGCTCTAAGACCAGTCTATCTCGAGAAGGGAGAGTGCGCAGCACTTTTGGGTCCCAGAACAAGCCCAGGCAGCCGGCTTTGGAGCTTCTTGAGGCGGCTTGCGGCGGGGTGGTGCAGCAGGTTGCGGCTCGCGGGCCAGACCTTACACACACCTAAGAAACTCATGCGGCGCAGCTTTTGGGAGACCCACCAACCACTGGGATTGACGTTGTCACATTGTCTTACATCGTCACATTGTCTTTTCTATCCACTACACATGGTGGCCGCAGGGCGCGGGTATTTTGATAGACAAAGGTGGGCGCATAAATGGATGCGCCCCAAAGTGGAGGGGTGGAGGAAACAACCCATCAAATGGATGGTTTGGCGGTCTCCCCATTTAAAGAAGCCCTCATGTTTTGTCAGAAGAGGTTGGCCAATGGCTGCGTAATCTATCGCACTTTTCACCCCAACGATGACGTGTGAAGACACAGAGGCTGGGGCAAGAGAGTATCCGCAGGCCTTCTGCTCAGCAAGAGCACTGTAAGGCTTCAGGTCTTTTTTTAGCAACTCCTGTTGTTGTTGCTGCTGCTGCTGCTACTCCTGCTAATGCTGCTACTAGACGCTGTAATTACTACTTGTTATTTACTACTGCTACCCCCTACCACCACTACGACGACGACGACGACTACTACTACTCAACTCCTGCTCCTGCTCCTGCTACTCCTACTACTACTTCTACTACGACGACGACGACGACTACTACTACACCACTACTAGACCACTACTACTAACACCAACTTCCTACTGCTGCTGCTGCTCCTACTACTAATACTCCTGCTGCTGCTGCTGCTGCGTCTGCTACTGCTACTGCTGCTGCTACCACTACTGCTACTGCTACTGCTACTACTACTACTACTACTACTACTATTACGACCACCGCCGCCGCCGCCTACTACCTACTACCTACTACCTACTACCTACTACCTACTACCTACTACCTACT